TCCTATTCTTTCTCTCTGCCATGCCATTTATTTGTGGTGAACATGGAGCAGTTAGAAATTTCCACATCCCTTGCTTTTCACAATATTGCATAAAACTTGCAGATACAAATTCACCTCCCTTGTTAGACCGTACTACTTTAATCTACTTACCAATTTGTTTCTCCACCATCAACTTGAACTTCTTAAACATCTTACTTCTGATTTCTCTTGTAAGAAATACACCTAAGACCTCTAAGAAAACCCATTTATGAATGAAATAAAATATTTCTTACAATTGAATGAACTAAGAGAAATTGGTCCACACAAATCGGCGTGCATTAGTTCAAGTTACTTTTTTACCCAATATATAGCCAAGTTTGGAAAGTTCATTCATGAATGTTTTCCGAGCATGCATTCTTCAAAAAATTTCTTCTCAAATTTTATACCAAGTAGTTCAAGTAATAGTTCCCTCCTTGGTAGCTCAGCCAGACTTCCAAAATTAAGATGTGTCGGATTGTTCCACGTCCTTTTACAACTACTTTGAAATCATCTCCAGATGACACGAATCCGACCTCTACCTTAGTGAGCTTATACACATATGATCACTAGCTCTAGTGTCCAGGTACCACACTGAGTTGGTAGAATTCTTCTCAGCCTTTGATTTCAAGCATGACACTACATCCGAGTTCACCATCTACACTTCTGAGTTATACTATTTCATTACCGAGCTATTCATGCCTTCTCTTGAGTTGTTCTCCTTCACTGCCAAGGTGATCACCTGCATTTTCGATTTGCTCCATTGCTTGATCGAGTTGTTTGAGTGTGTCATCAAGCTCTTTAAGCATATTGTGAGAGTCCTTTTTTTTTGCATATGAGCTCCGTCTCACCGATTTCTTGGATAATTTGGCATCTCCTAGCATAGTATGTAGTAGTCATTGAAGCCTTCAAAGATATGCTATGGATGAAGAATTTTCCAAGTGAATTGGGATATAATAAAGATGATTATGTGGTAAACTGTAATAATCAAAGTACTATCCATCTAACCAAGAACCATATGTTTCATTCACGATTAAAGCACATTGAGATTCAATATCATTGGATACGAGAAGCTTTGGATGAGAAAAAAAAAGATAGAGAAAATTCACACATACTTGAATTGGTCTGACTTGTGCCTAAGTCAATGTCAACCAAGAAGGTTGAAGATTGTTGTCAAGGTGCTGGTGTTCTAGTACCTTCAAATTAAGTCAGGATGTAAAGACAGGAAGAAGGTCCATTTGGTTTATGGGGGAGTTTTGTTGAATAAAATTCAAATGGGACCAACCTATCATGAGGGGTTAATGTTTACAACTCTACTTACTATGAATTAGGGGCAATAATTGCAACTACACCAAAGGTTGCTAAAATTTGGTCCATGTTTTATGGCTTTGATTATAAAATGAAAAGAACTGTGCAACCCATCTATAAAAGGGATGGAAAGAAGAAGAGTTAAGACACAATAACATGGTGAAGAAAAAAACCAAAGAAGAGAAAGAGAGAATCATCATAGTTGTGTGTGAGAAAAATAGATAGAGTTTGTTTAATGAGTATGTGAAAAAGAGATAATTTCTTTTTGAGTTAGGGTACCATAACACACATTGATATTCATTTGACACACCTAACAAGGATAAAATGGTCTTAAAAGAATTAACTTTTTTAATTTTTTGAAAAAGAAGAAAATAAAATGGTTAAATATGTTTTTAGTCCCTAAACTATCAAGAGAATTTACTTTTAGCCCCTCTTTCAAACTAAGCTACATTTTGGTCATTTTCCTTAAGGAAACCAAAATTTTTCGTCCTTCAAAACCAACGGCGTTAAAAATCAGCTGAGGTAGCTAACGGTGGTGTGCCACGTCATTTTTTTTCTGACATTAGTCAATCTTTTTCATCTCCTCTCCCTCCCTCTCCCTTTGACTCTACCACAACCACCTCCGATGCTACCTCCGACGCCACCTCCGACGCCACCTCCGACGCCACCTCCGACGCCACCGTCGTGATCACGAGTCACCCATTCCTTCCCACGGTCGTCCCCTGGAGCCAGATCTTGAAGTCCTTCATCTCCGCCACCATGAAACTCAGCCCCTGCCCATTTAGAGTTGTTGATGAGATCAACCAAGGTTTCCCCTTGTCCACCCTCAAACACTCAAATATTCTGGAGGTTGTCTTTCGAGCTAACTAAAAACCCAACCAAATCAGTTACCGATTCTGAGATTGAGCAAAGCATAGACTGAAGCGATTTATGAATGAACGTCTTTCGAATCGAGCATTTCGAGGAGAGGAGGAATTACTTTGAGCATTGCGAGATTTGCTCTCGCTCCGGCATCTTCCTTCGCCAGCGACCTCACTCTCTCCGCCGCGATTCTCCGCATCGAGAGGTCTTCTTCGCGCAACTCCTTCACCACTCGCTTTAGCTCCGCCAATGCCTCCTCTTTCCTCTCCGCCTCCGCATCCGTTTTCGTCTTCGCCGCGTTCAACAGATCCGACAGCTTCTCCGACCTCTTCTCTAACCTCTCCTCCTTCTCTGCATTGCTAGCCACCAAGCTAAAGTCACCAACGTTTCCTTCACCGCCGCCACGCCGGCAATAGCGGTAGCGGGAGGTGCCCCCGTAGCTGACGACATCAAAGATCAAGTGGCGGAGCATACAAAAGTTTGGAAGAAAACACAGAAGAGAAGAACGTGGAGAAGATGCAAGGAAGGAGACGACACAAAGGGAGAAAAGCTAGGGAACATTTATTGAGTGTCAGAAAAAAAAATGACGTGACACATCACTGTTAGTTACCTCAGGTGATTTTTAACGCCGTTGGTTTTGAAGGACGAAAAATTTTGGTTTCCTTAAGGAAAATGACCAAAATGTAGCTTAGTTTGAAAGAGGGATTAAAAACAAATTCGCTCATATTTAACCCAAAATAAAAAGTAAGAAAGAGTAATGTCAAATAAATGTAAAAAAATTAGGTATGTCAAAGTATAATTTTTCTTTTTATATATTATCATAAATGATGAATTTTATTGAGAGATTTCATAAATAAGAGAAACATAATTCTATTTTTACAGTAGATATATTTTTCTTGACAAAGTCTTGTGATTTTTCTTTTTCTACTTAAAAACTTTGGTTTCATCATCTTTATTATTCTTTCATTTTTACGTTTATGCTTAATTCATTTTACATTCACATAAAATAAAGAACAAGTATAGCCGTATACCGACACAAGAAAATAAGCATACTTTCTCCACTATAAAGTTTAAATCTTTTACGTGAATGTTTTGAATTGCATGCGATACTTAAAATTGAGGAAGTAGTTGTTTAATTATTATTTAAAATTTATGTGTGTATTAATAGCTAAGAAACAATATTTGAGTAATTTATTTGACATGGGTGTAGTGTGATATTAGGATAATGATATTTTTGATAATATTTTTTTGACAATATTTTAACATTATTTACGTGTTATTCTGTAATTAGTCTATGTTAATGTTTATGATTACTATTATTGATTATGAAGTAATTTTGGATCATATTATAAAAAAATGTTTTGAAAATATAATCCGTGATATTATTAATG